TGCGGAGCCTATGTCTCGACATCTACGGCTTAGCATTGATAATGTCTGCCGTATCAGGTGGCTAGAAATACCCATCTCTCGAGCACCCGTCACGTTCATCAATCAGACCCAAGCCTATTTTAGCCGCCAAGCTTGTCCTGGTTCGTCGCAGCAAGCAGAGTGTTGAGAAGGGGGCCTGCAAGTCCGCAGGTCCGCAGTGATTCCGTGGGATACAAGGATGATTATGCAGCGGGTTTATCCCCCCTCCATCCCCATCTCCAGAGTCCAGGGTTCAAGGACATGCAAACCACTGCAAGCCTGCAAGGACTACAAGCGAGGTATTGCTAACCATTACCCAATGATCTAATGACCTTCCAAGACGCCTCAAAGATGTCTGGTGTTGCGTTCTGGTCTGAGAGAATCTATTAAAGCAATAAGATGGGCACATGGATGTCGAGCCCTCGTCCATAACAATGACATGCCGCTAAAATGGCCACATGCCAGGACAGTTGGAGAGATCACGCTTTCTAAGCTGACAGCTGAGTCGTCATCCTGGACAACTCCACCGGAGGCAATTTGCTTCCCTTGATTGTCCCACGTGGGAGGGGCCAGATACCGCTCCCGACAATATGGCCTCAATCTCCTCTCTCCGTCTCGATCTGCACTGCACCTTTCCCATGTGCCTCAAAGAGAGGCAATGATGGCCAGGAATAATTAGCCCCTATCCCGGCAGATGCTGATTTAGCCCCCAAAAGAACGTGCACAATAGACTCCAGGGACGAGAAACCCAAGACATCAAGGTCTAGATCAACAACACCGGAGTGAACGAGATTGTTCATTCTCGACATAATCTCACAGGAACAGGTCTCCAAAGCCAAGCACGTAAGCACATAGACAACCAAACGGACTGCGTATTGTCTGCAACCGAGTCTGACAACACACCCTACAGTCTCAATAGTCAGTCAAATCAACCATATTATTAGCCTTCCACCCCGTTAGCCCGCATCTGTTAAACACACTTTACAATCCCTCCCCAGGACGCTAGGCGCCTCCGGGCTAGGGAAAAATGCGACAAGCAGTCAGTCGAAAGCTTCGTGGTAGCACTTGCCGGCTTGCACGGCAAGGTCCTTGGTTCTTCCCAGCTTAAGCCAAGCATCAAGTTTGGGCGAAACGCAAGATGACTCCACGCAATTCCCTCCCCTCCCCTCCCCTCCCCCCGTCCAACGTTCGCGCGCGGTGATCAAGCCAAAGGAGCCTCACAAACGGTGACAGAAACTTCAGAACCCTTCACAATCGACCTCAATTGGGGCCTAAGCCTTGGCAACCATGGGCTTCGATTAGATGGCATCGGAACGGAATGCCGCTTTCTGGACTTGGCTTGGCTCATGCGCCAGCCGCGCCTTTCCTCTTCAGCCTTTGCTAATGACAGTATCCCCGAGTTGCCCCCTTGCCTTGCGGCTTGGCAACCTTAGACCTAGGCATTGCTGCGAGCATTCAGGAAGGGATGCGTCGCACCGTCGCCAAATCTTTCTTCTTGGCAGGCAGACAACGGCATCTCTATCGCCGCTCCACGCCCTTCTCACTCTAGGACTACTGCGTCAATGAGGCGAGGTATCGCCATCACGAGTGGGCATTTGAGGCTTGGCGCGCGCCCTCAGCCATCAGCCATCGAGATTGCCAAATGTCCCATTTTTGCCCCTAGAACGTCCCAAGTTTGATTTGGAAAGATGTTCACGCCTCAGGGTTTCACGGGCTCGGGCTGTAACGTGGTTGTTGACTCGCAGAGAAACAGATTAGGAAACATGTGCCTATGCTATACAAAAGAAGCTACTGGAACTTCTTCTCGCGCATCAGACATGCAATGTAAACTTTCGGGCGGAACCCGAGTGTTGCGTAGTTCATCCTTCATAGTCCCATCCGAAGAGAGTCGAATCGCTGGGCAGACTCAAGGTCATCGTCAAGGTTTAGGGCAGAGATATTACCATGGCGAGAAGGTCCAGCCCCATCCTTTCCACATGATCGTACCATAACGACAATTCTCTGCTTCCTTTTTCTCTGATTATCAACAAGCCACAGAGAGGCTCTACGAATCGGTACCGTGGCCTGCCCTACGAGCTGAACCACCACTCCTCCTCCAACCCAACCCCAGATTTTAGGGCTCTCTGTTGGAAACCGTCCCTGCAGGGGGTGCTTTTCAAAGAGACCGAACCGGATGAGAAGCCATACCCCTCCACGCCCTCTAACCTTTCCCTCCCTGGGTGTTCTAACTATGGTGAGCTCAGTCAAACTTGGCTCTAGCAACTCCCTGCCGCTGGCGGAACGTTTCTGGGAGCATCCCGGGGCCCTTGGCAAGCCCACGAAACTCAAGCCGCCTCGCTGGCGGGGCCGCATTTCTCGTCCGTCAAAGCTGGTAGCTCACAGACTCAAAGTCCACACTTTTTACACACAGAAAAATCAAGGTTCAGCCAGACCCCGGGTCTGGCCGCGGATCATCTCCCCTCCTGCTTCTTTGGATATCATGCTCTTAGCTGTGTCGGACAGCTCGGACGCCCGCTGTCGTCTTGGAGCGGGGGACCCTGCCTTCTTTTCTTCCCCTGCCCCTCCACGAATACCCATCTCGTCGTTCTTCAGACTCCATTGTCACTCGGCCCTCGGGGCGGCCCCCGACCATTGATAAATGACAGTAACGTTAACGGCTTCCCTCAACGTGGTCAATTATCCAAACCTCGGAAGAGGCTGCGGACGGTTCGTGATCATAAGCGAAGACAGATTGCAGTCCTAGCCTCATGGATATCCAAGCTACCCGGGCGAATCAGAGATGCTACCGCTGGACAGCCCTGACGACATAGCGTAGCAGTCTGGATAATTCGCATCGCAATATCCCAAGGGGGCTGGGCTGTGATAATGCTCTCGACCTGGCCATGAGATTCAGATCATTGAGATGCGGTGATAATTATTTCCGTACAACTTGTTCAGTATGGACTAATCCGAGTCGTCGCTGGACTAATCTGGCCCGCAACCACAACGTGACCACGGCTCCCAGACTTGGCATGAGGGGACACCTCTTTTTTTGTTCTCTGTCAAACCTCAGTTGACTCGAGTCGACTCAGAGACGTTTCGTTCGTACCTCTTCAAAAAACGAGCTGGCAAATCACAGCCGTTGGTGTCACAAGATTTCCAACACTAGCGAGTCAAGAAGCTCACAAAGGGCCATGCTTTCCCCCAAGAGGAGAGGGATCGATGATCGTGTTTCCGTAGCCCGTGGGCAGGTGGTTGGTCGAACGCCTAGACACCATGCTGGCGCCGGACGACAGGTCGCCCGTCGTATCCTCTCCCACGTTATCCGTAAAGCAAAGGCAGCCGTCGTATTCTCTCTCTGTTTCCTCGGCAGGGAAAAGAACACGACTGTGCTTCCAATGGGGAAGCCTGACTCGGGAAGTTCAGGCTTTGGCGAGTGCTCACAACGATCAACCCAACCTCCTTGTGGAAACCCATACCTCAAGCAGAAAATGCTGTGACCTCCATAAGTCCCGTCCATAACATCGTACGCCCGTTCCCCATCCCGAATCACCCCGCGAAAGTGAAGCTCGGGCTATCACCCGGCCGGTGATGCAGTGGGAGCCCGGTATCCCTCCGCGTCTACCTTTCCCGCAGTTCCCGGTTGTGGATCTTTTTTGGTTCTTCTTCGTCCGCGGCTGTCTCGTCTCTGTCTACGATCCCGCTGCCAAGTGCCCAATCCCGATTCGCAGTGTCCTCTTCTCGATCTTTGCCCCCCTGATTATCGATCAAAGAGAGGAATCCGAGCGTCTACGCAGGAGACAACGTAAGACAGGAGGGGTCCTGGCCATGATCCGTTGCCGAGAAGTTTCCGATCTGTCAAAACCTCTCCCCGTGATGAAGGGTGGGACCCATATGCTCCGCAATGCGGGCGCAGGGCGGACTCGGTAGTTGAGATTAGATCGAACTTGAGGCTCCGTCACCGCGTGTCCGCCGATCTGGAGAACTCGACTGCGTTCCAACGGTCACGGTAATAAAGGAAAAAATCGTCTCTTTTTTTCCCCTTGCAGAAGTAAACCCACAACCCGGTGTCTTGGGTTCGGCCCGTCTTTGATACTTTTGATGTTGGTGTCTTTCGGGCGGTTCTCTGATCTCTCGATAGGCACCAATTAGTTCAGCGGAACTCTGGAGGTTCCATCTGAAGTTCGAATGGTCACTCCTGGCAGCTTCCAGGCATACTATCTTGCCCCATTGCGTTCGTTGGTGGAAACATTGCTGGCAACATCTGTTCCAGAATGACTACCATTCTAGCCACGCTGTCACCCTCGAGGCCAACGTGATATTAAAGTCTACCGGTACTGCCGACTGATTCCAGAAATAACATCTCTCCGGTCTGCAATAGATTCCTATAGTACCAAAGGCTGACAGCATCACGCCCTCTCTCCTTGGAATCGTTCTCGCAAAAGTTGCACATCCGGCAGCGTGGACGTCTAATTCCGTAATTCCGTAGTCTATCTCTGGCTAAACTTCCCCAGGATGACCCGGTGACGAAAGCCACCTCCGCATCGCCCGCCCTCCCCGCATCACCACCTCCAGGCTCCCCGTGCTCGCAATGACCAATTCGCGTCGGCAGTTCTTTCATTGGCCGTTTAAGCTTTCCTCGGACGCCAGTTGTGTCGCCGACATGATTTCGAGTTGCGAGAGAGTGGTGATTTTCCAGCAGTCCTTCCAAGGTTTGGTGATGTCAGGTCTTTGGGTTTCGGAACGGGCTTGTAAGACGGATTTATGTACGAGATGGTTGATCGGGTTTGCGGTTTGCCTGGCGCAAACAACGTACATGGAGTACGAAGACAAGATATTTATGTCGTGCCATCCGTGACGTCCAACCTTGGCGTGAGTCGTTCATCAGAGGCCCGAGTCGTGACCTTGCTGCTCGAATTCGCGGTAAATTTGTAAAGGTTGATAACGCCTAGGTATCTCGACGGTGCCTATTCTAGCTTTGTCAGTCAAAGCCCCAGCCAACTATGGACTCCCCAATAGACGCGTTAGACCCGAATGACACCAGTCACACTTACACCGAAGTTGCCGGGCTCTTCTTCCGAAAGTACTGGCCGATCCTGCTCCCTCTCGCTGTGTTAGTCAACGTCTTCCGCACCCGCTACCTATCTCCGCTCCGTCGATATCCCGGGCCGTTCATCGCCTCAACGACCCGTTTGTGGAAAGTCGTATCTACCGCATCGCGACGTACACACCTCGACCACATAGCTCTCCACAGGAAATATGGTCCGGTCGTGCGTATTGCGCCGAACGAGGTCTCCATCGCCTCGCCCGAGGCAGCGCGACACGTTCTGAGCGCCGGCAAGCGGTTCTACAAGACGGCGTTCTACGGCGTCTTTCCACCACCGGAGAATCCTGACATCTTCACGGAGGTCAACGAGGACGCCCACGCGAGGAAGAAGAAGGTCGCCAACGTTCCGTATAGCATGGCGGCGATGCAGCAGCTAAGCCCCTTCATTGATGATACCGTCGACCTGCTGGTTACTAAACTCGCCGGGTTCGCGTCGCGGCCTATGGAGTACAAGGCAGACAAGTTTGTCGATCTCGGGGCGTGGTTGCACTACTTTGCATTTGACGTGCTTGGAGAGGTGGCTTTCTCCCGAAGCTTCGGTTTCCTGGCGGAGGGCAAAGACGTGGAGGATGCCATCGCCACTATTGACCGCTCACAGGCGTACAATGGGATTGTTGGTCAGGTTCCGTGGGTTGACTTGCTTTTGCGGCGGAACCCTTTGTGGAAGCTATTCCCAACGTTGAATACGAAGAATGCGCCCATCACTCGAATTGCCTTGAGTGAGATGGAGAGAAGACGGCCTTTTGATAAGGAGAGCGAGGGCAAGCTGAGGAATGATGACGGGAGGCAAGATCTCCTAGCGAGTTTGATCAAGGGACACTTGAAGGACACTGAGAAATTTACCGAAGGTGACGTCTTTGCTGTTGCCCACGGCGCGATGTAAGTTGGATCAACGCATGAGAGTAGCCGATGCCTTGGACTAACGAACTTATTTATAATAGCTTCGCTGGATCAGACTCGACAGCTTCGACCATGCAATCACTCTTCTGGCACATCCTTTCGGCGCCACAAATTCACACAAGAATGGTTGCTGAAATCGAAGATGCCGTCAAATCCGGGTCGATGCCTCCAACTGGCAACATCTCATGGAAAGAAGCCCAGGAGCTGCCGTACTTTCAAGCATGCCTGAAAGAGGCTATGCGCGTGCGGCCAGCAGTAGGTCTCAACATCAGCCGCGTGGTTCCACCAGAAGGAGCCGAACTCGACGGCAGATTCTTTCCCGGTGGGACGCAGGTGGCCGTCAACGGCTGGGTCTTGCACCGCGATAAGCGCACTTTCGGCGAAGATGCGGATGATTATCGCCCTGAGCGGTGGCTGGTAGATGTTGAGGAAGCAAAGAAGATGGAGCGATACATGTTCCAAGTGAGTAGACCAAGCTATCCTGGCGCTATTGAAGCTAACGATGATGACCAGTTCGGTGGTGGAAGCCATGTTTGTATCGGTCGGAACCTAGCTCTGTTAGAAATCAACAAGGTCGTGCCGCGTCTCTTCAGAGACTTCAAGTTCGAGTTGGCGCATCCTGGCCGGCCGTTGAGAGCAAGTGCTACGTTCTTTGTTGTACAAGATGGCCTGGAGGTATTGATTGAGCGACGGGAATTGGCCTAGACACCTGTCCATGGTGCGAACATGCCACTGTACCTGAGCAGAATGACTACAGTAAGACTTTCATAGCACTGCGACTGAATGAAGTTGATAATGTGTATTAACCCGACTGTGCTGTTTAAATACTGAGACTTTGGGGACATCGTAGATACTACTAGGCCGAACCTGACCACCTTACTGGAAGCGTCCGTAGGAGAATGGCTCAGACAAGTGACAACGAAGGCCGTCGTTGAATTCTGATCTTCCCCAACTTCCGGCCCGGGGAGTGGTCGCCGCCTCGTCTCTGCATACAACGTCGGACAAAGCCCGACGCTTAGCTGCCAAATCGGAACGAAACATGCCACTCGCGTGTCTTCGTTGTGGGCTGGGATGATGCGAGACCAGGCTAAATCACCGGATTGGCTACGGGGAAAATCCTTATTCTGCAAGCTCTTAATCGACAATCCAGTGTGCCAGTCAAACACGACCGACTGCGGAATCGGGGTGTTGCTGCGGGGTGTCAGATGCGGTATCACCATCGCGGCGCGATATGGCGTCACGCCGGGCTCGGCCCCGACCCCACCGAGGCTGTCGTTATCTCCAACCCGGAGCCGTGGGCGGCCAACTATCGGGGAACTTGGGTGTTTTGATAAAAGTGCTTGCATGACCCGGTTTCTGCAGCTCTGATGTGTAGGTGAAGCGTTTTGTAACTTTGAACTCTATCTGAGAACTCGAAACGACGAAATGGGGAGCACAAGCCAGCCACAGCAGCTTCAAGTTGCCATCATCGGCGCAGGTATCGCCGGTTTGACAGCTGCGATCGCGTTGAAAGAACACCCAGGTATCAACGTTCAGATATATGATAAGGCGACAGAGCTTCGAGAAGTCGGCGCTTCTATTGCTCTGGGCCCGAATGGCCTGCGTACGTTGGAGAAGCTGGGTATTCACAATGCTCTCGACGATTCGATTGCTTTCCGCAACAAGTCGGGTTATCCAATGATCTACCGGTGAGTGCGTCAATGATACATGGTGTGAGGAACGAACCTGACCATAGAATTAGCCATTACAAGACCGGCGAGATCGTCTCGGTAGATGAGCACCACGGAAGCGTGGAGGCCCGCCATAAGACGGCAAGATTCCACCGTCCGCATCTGCAGCAGGCTTTGCTCAAGCACATCGATCCTGCCCACATTCACCTCAAAAAGGCCTTCAAGAACATCGAGAATGCAGAGTCAACAGGCAGGCTGAGGATCACATTTGTTGATGGCACCGCCGTCACGGCAGACATCCTCCTCGGCGCGGACGGCATCCACTCTGGAGTGCGGAGCTTCTACGTCCCGTCATCTCGGTCAAAGTGGACCGGTTGGACAGCATTCCGTGCGGTGTATCCCGTCTCCCATCTGTCTCACATCCCCGATATTCCAGACGAGGCGGAGCACTGGTGGGGGATCGATCGGACGTGGTTCATGTCGAAGCTTGGCAAAGATCTGTTCTGCATCGTCGCGTCTCACCAAAGCGACCCTGACGCCCCGGATGCCCTGTATAAAGATACGGTGTGGAATACTGGCAGCGACATCAACTTGCTCAAGAAGCACTACAGCGAGTGGCACCGTCTGGTGCGCGAAATCATCGAGGCGACGCCTGCGGATTCATTGAAGGTGTATCCCAACGCTTCTGCCCACGGGCTAGAGAGCTGGGTTCTGGGCCAAGATAGAGTGACATTCGCTGGCGATGCGGCGCATGCCCACGGTGGAGCTTTCGCTGCGGGTGGGAGTCTCGCGATTGACGACGCCTGGGCTTTTGCGGCATCGATCCAGCACGTGTATCCACCTTCAGCTACGGAGCTTCCGTCAGCAGCAGACATTGCGAAAGCGCTGAAGTTGTATGAGAAGACCCGAAAATCGCACACGGATAGAGTGCTTGATACAGTCCATTCGACGAATAAGAAGAAGGTCGAAAGGCTGGCTGTGGTGGAGAACGATGATGGCTTGCGGGCGAGGATGAAGAATCGAGTCGAGCCTGTTTGGATCCATGAACATGATGTCGAATCGGTATTCAGGCAGGTTTTGGCGCAGGAAAAAAGCCTTGAAGTTTCAGGAGCGACATCGAATCCGTCAGAAGTACAGATAGAAAGCCGCCTTTAGATGCTGAACATGGTGCTCCGAAGTTGAGAAATCTTGGTGGCTTTCGTGAGAGAATCTCCCAAGAAATCCCCTAGAAGTGGCAGCAATGATGGTGGTATATCTGCCCTCGGCCATACTATGTGGGTGCTTTCGAAATGCTGTAGCAACGAGTAGGTCATCTATTTGACAAAGATCTGATCATCTGCCGTGTATCACACCTCGTCAGCACTCGCTGAAGAGACGCTCGAATCTCGCCTGAATACTCATGATGGATAATTGCAGTTTCCCAAGCCCCGTGCTGATACTACAATCGGAGGAAGCTGCACTGAACGGGAGACAATGGTTTCGAGTAGATGGAGCAGTCCTTTGTAACCCTAGTCGAGATGCTCTTTGGTGTTGTTTGGTGTTGGTTGGTGTTGGTTTGCGAGCAGCGGCAGGGAAGGGAGCTGTAGGTACGTCCCTGCGCCAGTCCCATTAGATCCCGTTGGTGGTCTGTGCTGACTCACGCTTCTTAGCTCCACTCTGACAGCGGTGATTGGCCAATATTGTGGCCGTTTTTTGACTATTCCGGGCTAAGCGCCGGTCCCTATCTGTCCCTGCTTCTCGTCCAATCATTGAGCTCGTGCGGGGTCCACTCTGCGCTCCTTCCCGTCTTGTAGTGTGATGCAAGTACCTTCGTACCTTCGGACCTCTCCCTTCCTCACTGAGACCTGCGAGCTGCGAGCTGCGACATCCCAGCGATCCTCATCCTCAGCCACTCTTCCTTCTCCTCCCAAGGACGACGCCGGGAGGCTGCATTCCAGTACGAAGTGTTTGCTTCTTTCTCCCCTCTTTCGACCCTTGTTGTGTGGCTGCTGCGCCCGTTCTCTCGCTCGCGACCTTCCTTCCTCACCGACCGTTTACCCCGCCGAGCGGTTGCGACCAACGCGCAGAATGCCTTCTCAGTACTTCAACCTCTTCCCCGACGTGCAAATACCAACATGGCACAACATTGCGTCCACTCAATGCTTCTTTGATAACTGGCAATACGAAGCGATAGGCTATGAGGCCGAATCTATGCCGTCTACTCACTATCCACATTAGCAGGTATGCTCTTGAAGCTTAGACATGGACTTGGATCCTGACCTCCCCCTCCGCTCAAAGCTCCTCGATCCGACCATGGCACCGCACACGAAGACCGCCCAGTCAGCTCCGAGAACCCCGAAGAAACCTACCCAAACCGACCGAGTCAGAGATGTCATTGACAAGCTCAATCGAGAATACAACCTCGCCATCGAGATACCCGATGTGACACTTACACCGTCGTCGACCCGGCAGCGCGCCGAACAAGACACCGCTTTTGCCCGCAGCGAAAAGATTGTCCGTGGCATCCGATTCCATTGCTTCCAAAGCAACTTGCTGGACAGGATTCTCGATTCCTTTCACATGGAAGCTAGAGCTGCTAGTGAGAAGTGGATCCGGTTTGATGATGCCGAACCTGGAGGGGCTCCCAAGGCTGAATCACCCGGCCAATTATTACAGTTGCAGGTACTTCTCGACGACATATTGGATAAGGCCCATGCTCAGGTCAAGGCACGCAAATTGACTCGGAATCACACCGGACCAGCAGTCTTCGCCTCGACTGAATCAAGCAAGTCAAAGAGGAGATCCGACATAGACAGCAAAGCCGAATCACCCAAGAGAGCCAGGGGAAGTCCCCTATGGGGAGAGGAGAGAGAAGGTGTGATTTCCAATGCTCTGGACAAAGTTCCAAGTCGTTCTCGATCAGCAATACCCGAAGCTATGCCGGCTCAGTTCACCAGAGAGGTCTTGACGCTGAACAAATCATTCGATGCTTCCCTCTATACTTCGACTTCCGTGCGCCAGAGCGTGTACGGGACCGTTTCCCACATGACATCTGCGAGCACTAGTCGGACGTCACTCTTTCCCAAGGTAGACGAGCGAATGCCGGGCACCCAAGAGACAGTCCCAGTTCCACTCGAGGAAGAAGAGATGCGTCGCGAGTTTCTGGATCAAGCACCGACTTCCCCATCTTCCCAGGACCTTTTCCCGGCATCTTCTGGTCATCTCGATGCACTGAATATCTCCTTCACAGAACACGAGGTAGAATCCGCAAAGAAGAGGTCTAGAACACCAGCAGATCTCGGTCTCGAACCGCTCGGCAGCCCTTCTAAGAAGGCAACCATCTACTCAGAGATCGCTGGTCTTCAAGATCCATCCTTGTGCGAGCCCGTCTCCACTCCCCTCAAACGATCTGAGCCGGTTGATCTCCGATCCCGTCTTGACGCTTCGTGGCGTAAGTTTTTCCACTAATGGACGTTGAGGCCGCCGCATGACTATTGATACGGTTGTGAATAGATGAAGTGCTGACCTTTTTGCCAGCCAGATTTCCTCGGTGGCTCAACCGCGCGCCGTTTGCTGTCGCATGGGAAATGACGCGCATCGCAGTGCACTGTGGAGTCGACCTTGGAGAAGTGATGATGGACTATGACGAATCGTGGATCAACTATAGCCAACTGTGGAAGGCTCTCTTAGCCCACCCCGATTTCGCTGGCAAATCGTTTCCTGAGCGTCCCAGTACCGACGCCTGGGCTGCTGCCATGTCTGGCTTTAACACAGTCCGAGGACAGCACGTAGTCTTTTCGGCTCGTTTTGATCAAGTTCCTCGGGCGAAGAAAAAGGGCCCCATGTTCTCACTGTCAATGCAGCCCATCGCCTTAGATCAGGGCTGTCGCCTGCACCGCCATTTCGGTTCCGATCGGTTTCTCGAAATCTTGATCCCAAACCCCAAAGGGTGGCATGAACCCATCAAAGAGCCCGAAGTGTCACAAGAGGTCGTCCATTGGTTCTCCTCAAAGCGGCATTACCTCGCAGGCAGGCAGTGGCGGGCATTCTTCTCCAGAGATGCCGGATACAAGACGCCACAGAAAACCCTGAACATGGGCCCTGAGCCAAAGCCCGTCTATCAAGACAGAATCAGTCTCTTCGCCGAGAACGGCAACAACTTCCATGTAGCTCTCCCTCTTGGGAAATCTTCTCATGACAACCCTCGGGAGTTTAGGGTCAAGCTCAGCACTGGAGAGATGCTTGCCTGGCTTCTTCAATTTGAGCACAACAAGGAACAGCCATTTCTCAAGTTGTTTTCCCGTATCCAGCTTGGTGAGAGAGGGACATACAAGTCTGCAGTCTGGAACGTCTACTGATCCGCTTCACAGGATTGAGCAAAACGACGCCAGTGGTCGTTCTCGAGCCCAATCAAATATTTCACCAGACAAAGGACATGCGCTCGCCCACCGACATGGTCATGAACGACGGAATCGGCCTCATGTCTCGCGCACTTGCCCGGAAAGTCAGAGATGTTCTCGGACTAAGTGATGTTCCGTCTGCTGTTCAGGGTCGCTTTGGTTCTGCCAAGGGTATGTGGATGATCGACGTCCTTGGTGACGACGATAGCCTGTGGATAGAGACGTGGCCATCTCAACGGAAGTGGAATTGTGACTATGTTGATCCAGAGCATCGCACGCTCGAAATTAGTGCTCATTCAATGGAGCCACGATCTGCTAGCCTCAACATCCAGTTCCTTCCGGTCCTCGAAGATCGAGCCAAAGACAGAGAAGCGATGAAAATAACCATTAGCAAAATCCTCGAAGACGAACTTTGTCGTGCGCTAGAGGAGCAAAAGCACGCGATGAAATATCCCTTGGAGTTCCGCAAATGGCTCGTTGAAAATTCTTCCACGAGAAAGCAGCGCCTTACCTTTGGACGGGTGCCTTTCTTGGCTGGTCTTCCGGAGTCACCAGAAGAACGCATGAGCTTCCTTCTGGATGGTGGATTCGAGCCAATGAAGCAGAAATACCTTCAAGAGATTGCCTGGACGCTAAGGCAAAACAAGTGCGAAAATCTATTGAAGAAGATGAGCATCAAGGTGCCCAACTCAGCGTACTTCCTCATGGTGATGGACATGTGGAACATACTCGAAGAGGACGAAGTGCACGTGTGCTTTTCGTCGAAATTCCAGACCGAGACCTTTTCGGACTCCATGCTCCATGGTTGCGACGTTCTCGTGGCTCGTTCTCCAGTGCACTTTGTGAGCGATGTTCAGAGGGTGAAGGCTGTATTCAGACCGGAGCTACATGCTCTCAAAGATGTCGTTGTTTTCTCAGCTAAAGGGAACGTCCCTCTAGCGGACAAACTGTCAGGTGGTGACTATGACGGCGACAAGGCATGGGTCTGCTGGGAGCAAGCAATTGTGTCAAACTTTGAAAATGCAGAGGTATCGCCAAGCCCCGACTTGTCAAGCTACTTGAGGAAAGACAAAACAACTTTTGGGGATCTTGTTGAAGAGCAGGGCGAAAAAGCTATATCGGAAATGATCAACCGCAGCATTGCCTTCAGCATGAAGCCTAGCTTCTTGGGTATTGCAACCGCCTACAAGGAGAGACTTTGCTACCACCTCAACAGCGTGGACAACAGTTACGCCCTCTGGTTGAGCGCCCTCCTTGGCAACCTTGTTGACCAGGCCAAACAGGGCTTTGACTTTACGACGGAAGATTGGCATAGGTTCTGCGGAGAGCGGCTCGACAGTCACCGATTTAACGGGTTGCCAGAACCCGCTTACAAGTCTGAGAGTTGGTCGCATTCTGGGACACCAGTCCACATAATTGATATTTTAAGGTTCGTGGTGGCGAAGCCAGCCATTGAAAAGGAGCTGGCAAAGTTCCACAAGTCAATGTCCACGAGGTCGAACGAATTTGGGTATGAGCTGCGATCTCTTCGCTCGACCAAAGCTAGCGAAGACGAGCTTATAGCGGAACTGTGGGATCCTGACCTTGCCAAGCTTCACGAAGAATTTGGGAAACTTGCAACGGAGAACTTGGCGTTGAAGAAGATTTTGCGAAATCTCAAGACCGACTTGGAAGGTGCTGAGAAGAGTTGGAGCAAAAAGGTTGGCTCGAGCAAAGACAAGGATAACACAAACCGCGCCATACTCGAAGTATATGAAGAATGGCGCTCGATTCGACCCCGTCCAGATGGTGCGCTTGAGCCACTGACCGACGCTTTACTGAGGCAGACGTACGCGAGCGAGGACCACACCACCTGGGCTTTACTGCGTGGCAGTACAACATTCAAGATGTTTTACAACCGCAAAACAAAGTTTGCTTGGCGGATGGCGGGCATTCAACTGCAGTTCATCAAGGCAATGGCTACAGCAGGGCCTGACAGAGTCCTTGTCCCTGTGGTCCCTAGCATGTATGCGGCCCTCAAGCCGGACGGCAAGTTCATCACCCAGGCCACCTCAAAATTGAGGGATGAAGGGTCCGAGTATCCAGGTCTCGACTCTGACGGCGAGAATGACTGGAATGGGTCAGAGGGCGAGGAATGACGACCTCCCGTTGCATCAACGGTGTCTTTTCACAAGGACAATCCACGGTCCGATCACCTAGATAGTCAACTTTCTGACTACAGTTTTGCTTCTTCCCAAAGCATGACTTGGGATCAGAAAGACTTGGAGCTTGGAACGAAAGAACTCAACGGAGCTATGATATGGAACGAAAGAAATGCGATTTGGAATTGGCTTCGAAGCGATTCTGCGGATACCCTTTGTACTTATGTTGGAGCTTTTCGTACACTTACCGCGTCGCGCCTGAAAGGATGCGAGGACATGTACGGCCGTTTTTCTTTCCTAAACGTGGCGAGTCCCGACCTTTGTGTCCTGATGCCTTTCTCGTGACCAACGCCCCGTTGACCCCAACGTGGTAAGCATTGTGAAAGGATGCTTGAAGAGGCCATACATGATACAGAGAGCAACTTTAATGAATGGACCCTGGACATCAGTCGTAAGCCTTTTTGCCAATTTTTTCATTGCCCTTTATATTTCTGCCGCACACCGAAGTTTTCTCCTCCTGAAAACTTTGACCAGAACCCAGAATCGAATCCCTCAAGCATATCCTTCTTCACCAAGGCTTTCAGCTCACTCGCAATGTCATATTCACTCCCGTTCAAACGAGAGGGCCAGGACCCGGAGATCAGGCCCCTGAGGTCAGTCACTGCCTCGTCTGATGATCATACGTTACTAACTGGTACATCAAGTAAGAGAAGCATTAACATGGCATCGTCGACGCGCTCTAATCAATCACCCGCGCCACCGGCATTGGTTCGAGCAAATATCGCCCCCGATGCGCCCTTTCCCTCCGGCAAGAGAAGTAGTAATTTGCATCGATCGGCAGCCCGCCACACGCGCAGCTCAGATGCATCGTACTCTGTGCGCGCGGACGATATCATCTGCAAAGATCTCTCGCAGTGTCCCTACGGTCCCGAGGCGGGTCTTCATTCTGTCTTCAGGCATGATCATCCCCACGGCAAGAAGAAGGCCAAGTGTGCAGACAAGACTTTCGAGCTGTTGCAGGATATGGAGCGAGCTTCGGCTGAGCGGGAAGACAAGGTCGAGGAGCAGACGCACCGCGGCTCTACTTCTAAGCGGCGTGAGCCGGTCGTAGTTTGGATGGATGCGGATACAGGACTGAAGAAGAAGCCTCCTAAGGAAGCAGTGAGGGCCCACGAATCGTACTGTAGGATCAAAGTTGACGGGGTGGAGACGGGCTCCCCAATTACTGTTGGTCCTTTCCATCGGTCTGTCCTTGAGACCATGATACAGGACCTTCCCGTTGCGCCAGGACAGGCCCAGAGGGGCACCCCTGGGACTCGGGTGAGCCATGGCCCGCCTCCTCCTCCTCCTCCTCAGCAGGAGAATCAAAGTCCGGAACCTTTCCTCGCGGCCGGCGGCCGGACTCTCCCGCGCAACCCGGTTGCCGAGCAGACCGAAGCCGAGAAGCGTAAGGTAATGGGGGAGGTATTGTTCCAGATGACAGATTACTATCGCCAGAAGGAATCTAATTCGAAACAGCCAGTCGTAGATATGCAGCGCGAGGGAGCTGCGTTCGCGTTGAACAGTCAAGAGCATTTCCGACAGGCAGCGGAGACTGCTCGTCAGCGATTACAGCAGCAGAAGCTCCTCGCGAAGAAGGCGCAAGAAGAAGAGGAGTTGAAGAAGGAGGCGCTGAGACGGAAAGAGCTGCAGCGACAAGAGTTTGAGCAGCAGCAACAGCAGCAACAGCAGCAGCAGCAGCAACAGCGAGAGTACCAGCTTAAGCTGGAGCACGACGAAGCGCGAGCGCGCAGACGGAGTCGAATGGAAGAGCGCATCACCAGGCACCTGGAGCGAGAGGTCCAGATGAAGCAGCAGCAACAGTATGAGCTTGAGCAGAAGCAGAGGCAGGAAGAACTGCAACGGCAAGAGGACTTTGCCAAGCAGAGACAGCTGGAGAAGCATCAGCTCGAGATGAAGCAGCGTCAGGAGTTCCAGGTCAAGCAGAAGAAGCAGCAAGAGCAAGAAGAGCACAAGCTCAAGCTAAAGCAACAGCAGCAAGATTACATCGAGTTGCTGTTGAAGAACGCGCAAGAATGCAACCACGGGATGGAGAAGTGGCAAGAGGAGGAGAGGCAGAAGCTGCAGCAGAAGCAGGCAGAGCTGCACCGTCAGGAAGAGCAAGCCAAGCAGAGGCAGAGAGAAGAGTACCAGCGCCAGATGAAGCAACGAGAGGAGTATCAGCTTCAACAAAAGCAGCAGCAGCAGCAGCAGCAGGAACAAGACCTCGAGCGCAGGAAGAAAGCATCACAAGAGCTCGAGCTCAAGCAGCAGCAGCGCCACGAAGCTCTGCTCAAGAGCAAGCAGGAGCTCGAAGCGCTGCAGAGTGGCGTCAGACAGCGTGAGGCCGAGCTCATGCAGAAGCAGCGACAAGAGTACGAGTACAAGGAGAGACAGAAGCGAGAGGAGCAGAAGCGGGTGCAGCTGAAGCGGCAGGCAGAGTACGAAGCCAAGAAGCAGCAGATTGAGGCTTCTGACGTCTCGTCTAAGCCTGTTTACAACCCTGAGCAAGGGTATGCCGATATGATTGAGATGATCAAGAACTGGCAGCTCTCGGCGACGAAGGGCATCCATTCCATCTCGGAGGAGTTGGGTCGTATCTCTGCTACCGCGGCCAGAGCGGAGGAGCAAATCGACCGGGACGCCGTTTCAGCGGAGATTCGTCACGAGCCCGAGACTGTGGCCAAGTCAGATGAGGTGTCAAAGGCACCACAGGTTGAGGACGATCGTGAGATTCCTCCATTCTCGCTGAGTTCTCCCCTATCTCCTGTGATTGACCCTGTAAGTACAAATCGCATCGGTTCGCCACGTCATTAATCCCTCGCTAACACCAGATAATCACAGCACAATCGGTCCAGTCCCGGCGCGAACCCAATTCAAGGCATAGTGTATAGGCTCAAGAAGGAAGACGATGTCCAGGCCTTTGACTTTGTCAGCCATGAGGATGCGCTAGACCTCACGGAAGAGTTCGTCATCACGGAGCCTATGATCTGCTGCAAGAATGGCAAGAACTGCAAGAATTGCGACTGCCAGAAGCCCCCACAGGCTGGCATTGCTAGGGCGTTGCCTTTGGAGTTTTTTGACGATGATTTCCTCCTCATTTGAGGGGTTTAAATTGTTGAGTGACGGATAAAGATGCGGCGTCTAGGCGTTTCCATGTTTCTTGCCCCGGCCGATGAGAAAGAGAAATGCAGTCTTCAGGGCAGATATACGGGGCACAGTTTTTGAGGTAGTCATTCTATAGTTTCCTTTCCCGTCAATCTACCGGTTGAAGTAATTGTTACTGCTGTGACATAAGTAGATATGTGAGTGAGTTGAGGCTGCCATTGTCATTCTGCCGACAGGCGCCGAATGTTGCGTACTTGGACACAGGGATTTGGCGGGCTGACACTGGGGATCTGGGATCTTTTTTTTGCCATGGATAGTGTTATTGTGTTGTTTTTCGGGGGTTTATCAGTTTTCTACGTGTTTTTGCTATCATGAAATGTGATGTTGCTGTTGGGTGACGATGATGCGCTCTACATCATGGACTCGTCGGAGTCATGGGCCATGGCATGGCATTTGAGTGTTAAAGAAACGCCCCTGAATCTCAAGAAACCTAACGCTGTGCCCTGAAGTCGGGAAGATGAGGAAATGTTCAATCGCTCTGCATGTTTGCAGGCAACCCAAAATCATCAAGCCTCCTTGGCCGGGTCCTGGAAGAAGATGACCTGAACTGTAACATCATCCCTGACGTTCCTAGCCAACGGCGGGTATGCGAGCGTGACGCCGGTGAAGAGGGACCTGCGCGTACCGCCCAGCGCGTTCTTGATCAGATGTACAGCCGCGTTGTCGAGATCCTCGACGACAAAGTGCTCAGGCTTGGCGTACCAGTTCGCCCAGCCCGCAGACATGTCGAACTCGCTCTTGACGCCCGGAGTCGCGGCGAGCTTGTCTCGAGGCGTCTTCTCGCCGGCCTTCTTGGCCGTGATCCAGCGCGACACGCATTCCACCGCGTGTTCGGACGAAATGTGGTCCCACAGGCCGTCTGAAGCGAGGATGACAAAGTCGGGGCCCTTGATCTCGGTCACAGTGGTCACGACGGGGGCGGCGGTCATGTACGGCGGCGTGAGGTACTTGGGCCGCACACCGGTGCCAAAAAAGTCGTTCTGGGCTTCCTTGATGGCGTCCGCAGTCCACTTCCAGCGGTGGTCGCCAAATGCACGGGTGATGGCGATGCCGAAGAGGCGGCCGCTCTTGGTGTCGATCATATCCGCCTCCTCGCCCGGGTGCTCCTTGGCGATGCGGTCAAACTCATCCTTGTTGTGGCCCGTCTGGTCCTTGGAGAGGGCGCGCGCCGAGTACGAGGTCGCGCCGGGAGCGATGGAGCCCAGGACGGCGCGGGAGTCACCGGTACAGGCGACGCGAAGGGTCGAAGTGGCTGGGTCGAAGATGGAGAGGAGGGCACATGAGCCTGCGATGGCGGGGGCGATGGCGGCGATGACCTTGGAGTCGGCGGGCTCGACGGCGCCGGTTTTCAGGCCGGCTATGGCCTTTTGGGCATTGGATGTGATGAGGTCGTCGAGGTTGGTGAAGGCCTTGACAATGGCTGTTTCGACTGCTGCGTCTTCGGTGCCACGGCTGAGTTGGGCGATGGAGGAGGACACGGCGGGGATGAGGGCGCTCTTGAGCAGTAACGAGGTTGCCCATCCACTGTTTCGGTTAGTACTAGAAGCATCTGAGAGGCGAAGATGATATTGAGACTCACGCATGACCATCATAGACGCCGTTGTACAATGTCTCTGATTTTCCAACACCCGGGCCAAGGGAGAATGTCATGACGTCCTCGACAGGGTGGTTGCTCGCGACTCTCGCGGCGTGGACATGAGTGTGCTTGCCCTCAGCAGTGAAAGATCCCACAAAGACATCCTCACGGAGCTTCGCATCCGCAGTCTCGAAGCTGCCGCCATCAACCGGTGTCTTGGCCAGGGCATCCAAGTCAACGGGTCCGGATCCCAGGCTAGGAAGAGTGCCAGGCTTCAGGCTCGAAGGGATGCTGGTGGGCTTGCCGTTGCCATTTCCGCGATCTCGCACCACATCGGCGATGAACCAGCCGGCGGCGACGCTAGCAGCTCCGAGTGCGTACTTTGGTAAGTTGGAGGAGGAACTTGGTGACGGACCGGTGCTACTCGAGTTTGGACGCGTCCAACGCGGAGCCGAAGAGCGGATGGTACGCGCGGGGGCGTGGAACCGTAGGTAGGCCCCGGCATTGGGGCGGTATGCACGCTGCAGCATCATGGACCTTTTGAATGCTTGGTTGGTGTGGGTGGTTTAGCTTGGCGATCCCTCAATCATCTGGGTGCGGTTGCGGCTCTCCTTTTGTAGGTGGATGGAAGAATGATGTTGATGAATCAGGGAAACAGGAGCCGCTCTAGTTGTTTTGAGACGAGCTTTTGAGTGATGAAGTGAACAAGAGTGTGAGAGTGAAAGTGAACGTGAAAGTGAGAGTGAGAATGAGATTGAGATGAGTGAGACTTTGATGAGGTGAGACGGAGTAAGCTGCGGTGAATCGCCGTTGCTGTGGCAGGTGGTCGCGTGCGTACTTTCTTCCATCCCCTGGCTCTTTCCCATTCTCGTTTCGCCGCATTTTCCCTCTGCGGCACGGACCACACGGCACCAACAGCACCAACAACGAGCAAATTGCACCTGAGACTCAGCCTCGCGGCCTCATTGAATAAAACCAGGAACTCGGGAGGGGGAAAACGGGGTGACGGGTCGAAGGATTCATACATCTTACACAGCTTCTTATTTCCGTTTAGTCTGGCCATCTGTGTGACTCACAAACGGAGTGAACCCGAACCATGGTTGGTTGGTGTAATGTAGGCTGTGAAGCATCACGAGAGCAACCTCCCAGGATGCTGATAGGTAGCCCACCGCCTCATTAATTTTACTCAATAGGATCACTTCTTTGAGCCTCCTAGACTACTTCAAGACTTGTTATCATGCAATTTTCTCCTGCTGTTGGTTCGAAATATGATTTCTCAAAGTGGTTTCTTGATGTGTATTGTCATCCTTTAGAACCAATGCACATAACTTTCCCCCAATCCCACAACGTCAGCAACCATATTTGATACGAGGGCAATACCCAGAAACTCGAATGTGTCCGGGTCGCAATTCACCGGCCTGAGAATCGCTAGCAACTTCAAGTTGTGTAGGATCCAATTTTCATTTTTTTAACTAGGGGACTTGACTCCAATACAGATTCGGCGGGTCCGCGCGGCCACGTAAGTCCGTAAACGAATTTAGTCGAGCAACAAAATTCAGCGCAAATATTGCTCTAATCGACCTCTGTAGGTTGTGCGAAGTCTTAGGGTGGTTTCTTTGTAGGTCGACCAATTCAGATCTGATGCTAGCCTCCCCAGCCCGTACCATGAGGTCTTGGATGGAGTCCACTATATAACCGATATAGAAAGCCTCTTGACGATGCTCTCTACTCGAAAATTTGGCCTGTAAGTCAAAGCACCCACTTTTGGGCACCCCCCCCTTTTGGGCACCCTAACAAATCCCTCCTAGCCACTATATTAAAACCCTACTAACGATTTTTAATTTAATATAATAATTATAAAAATCGTCTAAATATATTCTTTTTTAGTATATATACTAATTAATAAATAATAGTATTATATACTAAAAATAAGCTTTAATAAGTACTTAATATTATTAAAAACGGTCTTTTTATTAAAAGGGCCTCGATTAAGTTCGGGGTTCTTAAAATAATACTTTAGGGTTAAAAAAGAGGTTATTAAATAAGGGCGAGGGTATTTATAAAGCTTTAAAAGCTTTTTTTATAATAAAAAGACTAGTTAGCTTAGTAAATTTAAATTTAGTATTATTTAAATATTATATTAATTTATAAATAAATTAGAGAATTTATTAAATAAGTTCTAAGATTTTAAAAAGATATTAAACTATTTAAAAAAAAAATTAACGTTTTTATTAAAAAGAATTTATTAATAAGGGTTTAAAGAAGTTATTTAATAAATTCACACTATATTAATAAAGCTATTATTAATATAATTAAATTATAATTTGAATTACTTAATATATTAAAAATTAGTAATATTAAATAAGTTAATAAATATAATATAGATAAAATTAATATAATAGAGGGTAAGAGAGTTAATAAGCTAGTTTTAAGTATAATAAAAGCTATAATAATATAAAATTAGTTTATATATTTAAATAACGATTATTAAATATATTTTTATTAATAATAGAGCTATTAAATTATTAGTTATTTATGAAAAAAAGTTGGTTTAATAATAGTAGTTCCCCCTTTAACTTATTATTTATAATAATTAAAAGTTTATAGTAATAAATAATAGCTAAATAACTAACGAGATTGCCCTTTATTAATTAAAAAAAGTGTTCTTATTATAGACTAAGACCCCCCTTATTAAGGGGCTTAGTAAGCTAAATTAGCCTCGATTATTAATACTAAATAAGTATAAGAGTTATATAATAATAGAATTTATATAAGAGTATTATAAAAATAATATTTACTTATTATTTTTATTATTATATACTTCTTATATTCTATAGTTATTAAGTATAACTATTTTTAAGCTTATTAAGTTTTATTATAAAAAAGAGCTTAGTAAGGAGGATATAATAAATAATTTTATTATTATTAAAAAGCAGTACTTCTTAAGCTATTACTAGCTCGCTCATTTAGCTAGTTTAATATTATTAAATATACGAAATAAGTAAAAAGTAATTAAATTATAATTACTTAATATAACTAAGTTACTTCTTAATTTAATAGTTTTATTTATATAAGTTATACTATTTAAAAGGGGTATAAAAGCTAGGTAAATAATTAGTAATATTAATAAACTATTTAATTAAGTATTAGTAACCTTTATTATTAACTAATTAATTTTTAAAAAGGCTAGCGAGCTTTATAATTATTTAAAGCTATTTATAAAGCTTAGTTTAGATAATAGTACTTAACGATTACTATTTAGAAAAATAAAAAAAACTTTTAGGGAATAAGCTTATTAATTAACTATATTTTAGTATTAAGTTCGAGTTCTTAAAGCTAAGATTAAGTATATAAAGCTTAA